GTGTAAACCTGTCTATAATACGAAAAGCCTAGTCCTTTCTACGTCAACCAAGAAGCTGCAGAACAGGATAAGTTTGCGAGCGATGTAAGAGATCGAACGGCGAACTGAAAGCAGAGGTTAGTCTGAGGACTAAGATCTCTACGCTCAAGTCGATCTTTATCCCGATGCTTACATAAGGTTATGAAATATGACTATAATGCTTCGACCTTGCAAACAGGCGGCAAGAAAGGGTTAACGCGTCTCGGCGCGATCGAAGAGTTTCTCCAGATTGAGAAGCCACGGCTGCGACTGTTTGGGCACTACTGCGAATGCTTGCAAGGAGATTTTGAGGCCAAATACATCGAACGGCTCTACTCCAGGCTGGAAAGAAAGCTTCTGACAAAGCTGAAACCCTGGCACAGGTTAGGAAACGTTGGAAACACTGTCTGAAATGTTTGCATCCGTGACCCAAATGGATAAGCAGTAACAGAAACTTAATGTTGTGGCAATCTGTGGCTCGTATCACAGAATATTCGATTTGCAAAATGATTGTTCTTTTGTTGGTCATTTTACGGCAAACTTGTTTTAGTACATGTGCTACCCGCAAATTACCGCCTTCGAAACGTCTTTTGCGACGAAAGCCAACAACCAGTACGTTCGACTCTTCGGTGCCGCACTTTTGGGTAAGGCGCTGGTTTAATGCTATTGATTTGGTGAGTGTGCTGCTAACTTGTGTTTAGTACAAGCTTTCGTGTACCACGGCATCGTCAGTACCAATGACTCGTGTATCATTTCCATTGGCGTTCTCTCATGCTGTTTGTTTTACACCGGGACGCTAATAAGTGAGTACAGCAGAATGACGAGAAAGAGCATAAAAGTTGTATCGAAAGGTGTTACTGGCCGCGCTGCTGTTTCACTGATCAATCTGATTATTAGTTTTTTACAAATGGATATTCGGCAGTCTATTCGCGGGTGCCAACCGTCATGGATTGTTGCCGATATCCCTCAACCCTTATTCAACCCAGTGGATTGATTCAGATAAGTAGAGAATTACCGGAGGTGTTGGTCACAGACAGATATGATTAAGAAGCGGCGAACAACACAACCGCCTCAGCCTACCGGAGCTGGCTCACGCATTACGCATAGTTCCTAATATAAGCAAACATCGTTTGCGTTAATGATACTAATTTAATGATTAGCTGAAGGGCATAGCAAATTTGGAAAATTGAGATGGTCAACGAGGCACTTAAAGTGTTTTATAGCACGTTTTAAATGAACGATTTAAATGTACAGGGGGGTAGAAAAAAACTTTTAACAGGTTATACAACGTAGCTAAAAATTGTTTAAGACTTAATCATCATCAGCGATTTATCCAACCAAGGATATTTATTTTAGTAAAACTGCTTCACGTGGGAGTTGGCGATGACGCAACTATGATTGGGAAACTGCACACTGTATGGCTATGCCTGGCAGCATTGATGAATTACGCTTATCACGAGGTGATAGCTACGACGGCGGTGATCACTCGCTTGATCCGTTGTATATCAATGCCTCTCAGAGCACTGAGGGCGAAGGACGGACAGACGAATGGCGCCACGGCTCCAAGATCGTCGCCCTCGGCTGAGCACTCATCACCGGCCTTTCAAGATACGCACCTTGACTAAGCACCCCGCAGTGTCGTCGTCGCCATCATCACTACCGTGTGTCGATAAGCACATGTATCTGCCAGTTGCAGTAAATATGACGCATTAAACAGGTTTCATGGATTTGTCGTACATGTCTCGACAGCTGCTGCATTTTTCCTCGGCCCGCCGTATTCCTGCAGCAAGGTAGGAGAACAATCTAAATTCCATTGGTTTTAGGAGCTGTAAATGACCATCTGTAAAGGAGGTGCAGAGAAACAAAGATATTGCTTGTTCACAGCTTGCACATCATACTGTACTAGTCTGTTGATTTGTTTGATGTCATTACCATGAAGACGGATCAACAACGATCCAAAAACAGAGAATATGTACAGAGTAAATTTCGTAACTGAAGATTTTATTCCACCCAAGGAGCAGATTTCAACGTATTGTCTGTTGTTTGTGACCCAGTCCCGGTGCGTGTTCATCGGTCGTCATTGCAGAAATCCGCTACCCTTCTTCAAATCTGGCGCTCATGCGGTTAATACAACCGAAACGTTGAAGAGTACTGTTACGCGGTGTGCTGTAAGTCATCACCCATTGCCAGCTGCGCAGATTCGAGGCACCGAAAGAAACGATAACAGGGCAGTCTCACTTCCGGCCTATTAGTATGTAATATTTCGTTTCAGTGAATTGCCTATAGTTACTCGATTTCGAATACCTACCAGAGATCTTCATCGAAAACTGAAAAATAAAAAAAAACAGCCATGAGATATGGTCAATCCAGTGACGGATCAATGCCGACGTCTCAGTCCGTGTCTCAAGGCCTTTTTTCAAGGTAGGTGGATGGCTTCGTGAACTTCGTTTGTTGTTCGCAACAGTTAATGAGTTCAGAGCAAGAACGTAGGCTTTCGGCCAGTACCGATGGTTAAATAGATTTTGTGCGACAGGAGAAACGAGGCTCATCCAATCCACGGATAGTTCGTATCCTTTGTCACGGCTGACATTTTTGCAGGGTTGGAGGATTAGTGCCTCTTTTATCTGTCTGTGTAGCCAACGTCTCTTATTTGATGATGCCGCCTACATTCAGACCATCGGATCAAGTGTTCTTGTTTGGCTGCTGCTTCACAATCCTTGAGATCTTCTCGCATTGTTACTTGACATTGTTAGGAACGAGGCATCGTTTTCTTCCTGGGCACTTCGTTACCAATGGTCGCTCACGCCCGTCCGCAATCATCCAGCTTCTTCAACTTGGCAGGTGGGTCTTTGTACTTTGAGTGACGCTTTTCCCTGTTCCTCTTGTGCAATATTTTCCGCAATTAACTCGTCATTGTAATTCCAGCGTAGAGTTATTATTCTCAGAATTATTTAATAAC